AGATAATATGTGAATAGTGAGTTAGGGCGATGCTGAGAATGTCATGTAGCACTACAAAAGGATGCACAATATTTGTAATGGAAACCTAAAGAATAATACAATATATATATATATATATATATATTTAATCTGAGAGCTTCTGCAGTTTCCATACGGCATATATTCCATATATTTAATTTGCTAAATTGCACCACAGAAACAGATAATTTTCCACAAATTCATAGAGGTGATGAAAGGCTTTACAGCATTGCTTAGGTATCACTTCCTCATCTTCCATTTTACAAGTAATTATTTTCCATTTTAAATTCAAAAAAAAAAAAGGAAATGTATGGAGAATTTAATTTTTAAAGTATGTAAATATTGAAAGTTTGAAGTTGTAAAGAGCAAGTAAAAGCTGTTATGGTGAAGCCTTGTTTCACTACCACATGTACTGTATCTCAGCTCCCCGAGACATTGAGCTGAAAATTATCATTGTCTTTACACTGTGCGCCTCACTGTCAAAGGAAGGCATGACTCTTACTCATACCCTCATCATTTTCAGCTGTCTGAGGTGGAAGCATGACAGGTCAGGAAGATTTTCAAAGACATTTAGAAAATGAATATAATTGTGGGAAGTTGAAACAAATAAGGCCTTTTCTTCCCACTGCCTTCACAGACACGTTTCTCCCTGCTGTGTAATTACCTCCCTGCCTAGTACTACACTATGCATTGAAATAAACCTAGGTACTTAATAATATAAAGGTGCTTCCTCTACAAGAAGTGACAAATGGTTTATGGCTGAGTACTTTCTGGCACTAAAGTAATTTTTAGCATTACTGTCGGTGTTAGATCTTTTAAAATTAGTAACAGCAAGGAATTTTCTTTAAATAGTCTGCTAACTAGAGTTAATTATTAGGTTTTGGAACATCTTTTATCACGTAGAAACAACATACCACCTTCACCAACACAGGAGCTGTTCCTGTCTTAATGTAGGTATTCTCCTGAGTAAAAACAGTGTTAAGTTGTATCTGGGCAAGGTGTTAAGTAGTGTTCTATATCACGCTAGCTCACTTGTCTGGAAAACATAAATACAACAGAAAATGTCTTTGTCAATACCCATCTAGACAGCTGCCATGTTTAGTTGGTGAAGGCAGTGTTGAGATGCTGCCAGACAGAAAAGTGATGTGAAGGAGAATGCAAATCCTGAATTCTCAGAGTGCAGACTAAAGTGGTTAATAATTCCAGTTATTACTTAACTAACATTCATGTGTCTTTTTAGAATTTCTTATTATCATGTAAATGTAGTAATTCCATATTAAAGATAAAGAGAAAATAGAGGACGCTCTATAAAACCAACACATGATGGAAAAAAAAAACAATCTGTGCAACATGTTGCTATGGGATTGTTCATAAATCTGAAATTTGAGAAGATTCCCTGGTCAGCTCAACTTGTACTTGTGACAGTGCAAGTTTATTCCTTTCATTTCCTATTTTTCTTTTTTTCTCTTCCTTATTTCTCACAGCTTGGAACATCCAAAGTGTGAGAAAAGTCTCAGTAATTTTCTCAGATAGGGTCTTCTGTGAAGAAAACAGAAGAATGAAACTTTCATTCTCATGTGTTTCTCACATAAGTGAAAAGACTTGGAGTCTGGAAGTGCCATTATAAATAGAGCTGTGTGCCCTCCTCCACCCCCATAATAATCTTATCTCAGTACTTTAAATAAGCAGTCTCCTTTCTTTACATCCACGCTTTGGAGAGTGCTGGAAACTGCAATATTTCTTTGTAGGCATCACTGCACCAGAAAATATACTCCAAACGTCCAGAAATTTCCTGTTTCCCTTGATTAACATCCTGAGCTGAGTTAGCCCCTGACGTACTGTAAGGCCCAGTAAGATTCACTGATTGGGAATTTTTTCTCTTTGTCTTGTTGCCCCATGAAGAAGTTGTAAGGCTTGGCTTGGCTTTAGATTTTATGGTTATGTTTCCCAAAACTCCAGCTTTTGGGAATTCTTACATTCTCAGAATTTTATCTCAATAGAAGATTTTTTCTTCAACAGCTCATTTTGCTTGTTCCCCTTGTGTTTAGTTGCAGTGCATTTATGAACCTCTATTTGCATCATGCTATTTTAACTTGATGTGCCAAAATGGGTAAATCTGAGTCTGTACAGGATAATGACAATGTCATTTTCAAGGCGCTCTAAATGATATGGAAGATAACTTGAACAGATATTAGTTTCCCACTGTGCTCAGTTGTTACACAGTAGCTAATTAAAAGGCAGTTGACAAGCACATAAGACAAGCAATGCTTGTTGGAGTCCTTAGCAAGCTGAAAAATAATCTAATAACCCTAGAATTAATTTAGACTCAAATGTTTCATTGCAAATGGTTAATAGGCTGATGGTTGAACTGGTGTGCTCAGACACTTTTCTACATGAAGTAGTACATGACCAGTTCAACTTTTCTCCTATGTAATAAAATTATACAAATCTAAATTATACACACGTTCCCAAGTTCCTAGACTTCATTAAATACTAGGGGATTAAAAACTTGTATAAATTAATCAATGTGCTATAATCCTAAAAATTATAAAATGAGCCCTTGAGGAAGTAATGTAATACTAGCTTTTTAATTAGTGTGACACCAGAGATTCATTGTTCTGTAATGTAAGTCTTATGTTTATGAATTGTATTATCATTTTAAAATAGAAAAAAAATACAGTGTTTTTACTAGTTACGAATAGGAGGTAGGTGTTTACAGGTTTTGAACCTGTAAACACATCTTCAGCTTCTCGTCTTACGGGTAAATACTGTGCCAGTGAGTACAGGCTTACGTTTACTTTTGTGAGTAAACGGGTTTATAGAATTCCTGGGCCTATTTCATCAAGATCTCCATAAATAATCCTTGTGGTAGCTAGAAACCCTGCTGATACCAATGAAGTGCTAGTAGGGCTGAGAGTATCAGCTGACACTTTAGGATGAAAATGTCCATTTTGTTTTGTTTTGTTTTTAAGAGTAAAGTGGAAATCTCTATTAGGTACGGTCACTTTTGAGAAGTGCTTGCTATGCCATCTGACAAATATTTTATGCTTTCAAGATGCAAACACTTTTTATATATAAAAAAAATAATTTGTAAGTCTTCATTCATATTCTCAGATCATCTTCATCTTACAGGCTGTTGTCGTGGTCATTGTTATGTTAATAAAGGATGCTCCCTACTCTTGCGTAGGACTGTTCTGATAATGTTAAACCACAGTGAATCACCCAAGCTTTTAATTATGCCATGCCAGACCTGTCAATAAACCAAATGACAAAATCTGGTGAAGTTAACCTTCAGGTGTAAGCACCCATAGGAAGAAAAAGCAGCAGCAGTTTTTACTGTTGTTCGTGTGAAAACATTAAGCCACCAAGATTTTCCAAAGGTTATTTAAAAAAGCACAGTGCATGACCAGTTAAAAAGCATTTTAAATGTCTTGAACAGTATCTATGATTTTAGAAACTGCTATGTGATAAATTAATTTGGGAGAACATTAAACTAGAATTATAAATTCGTCCTTTCCAGTCCCAATGTAGATTTCACATCTTTCAATAATCTAAAGCTGGAGTGTAGACTTCCCAGTTAACCTCAAGTGAATCCATACCGACAGTTTTCTGTACCTAGATGACTGAGTTACAACTACTGAATCTTACTTCTGCATCTGGCAGTGCTGTATGAGCAATTTTTGAAGCTGCTTAAGTTTGAGAACTCTTCCTCAGCATGTATATTGCACATTAGGATTTATAATTGTTTAGAGACTAGTGTTGTCTAAATCACATTCTTTGATGTTGTGTGAATTCCAGTTTGTAAATTTCCCTTAATCTGGCTTAAAGAACTTAATTTTCAAGCAGCGCCAGTGCCTGTGGGTGCTGTGCACAGTAGGATCAGGGCAGTGCTGGAAACTTGCACAACCCATATTTAGCAGTGTGATTTAACAACTTTGGATGGGGAACACTGCCTGAGATTGCCCCTTATTTCAAAGGGTAAAACAAAACAAAACAACAAAAAAGAGGAAATGCTAACTCTGTGTTTGGCAAGTTTCCCCAACATTGTCTGTTCTCATGAAAATGAACAAGGAAGATCAGAGATCTGAGCATTTTTTCATATAATTCCTGTGGAGCTACTGGAAGAGAGACAAGTTTCCTATGCAGAACATCATGGCAACAAAAAGACTGTACCTCTTTTGTTTCCACTCTATATTTTTCAGAAATCTAAAGCAAAAAAGTTCACTGAATTTAAATAGTCCAACAGTATCTGAGTCTTTCATATGTATTATTTATTGTACCAATCCTCAGCTGGTGTAAACAAGCCCACTTACAATGATGCTAACTGTGGATTTGCTCAATTACACCCTCCATCTGGGCAGTGGAGGCATGCTTTAATAATAAAGAAACACTTCTCTTTTTCTTCCTTCCATTCCCTCTTCCTGTTAGAATATTAAAATAATTCCATGCAAGCAAATTATCCCCAAGATATCCAAGAATTCTGTTGTTATGTCTCATTTTGTTAGTATTTAAGATTAAGTTACTGTAAATAACCTTTTTTTTTTTTTTTTTTTTTTTCAAAAAATACAGGAAGGCTGATATTTTTTTATAACTATAAGGTACTTTCTGAGTCCAAGTTTGTAGAAGATGTGTTCTGAAAGGCAGATACTGCAGTGTTCTTTCCTTTTTAGTAGGATTTTCAGCAATTCTGAAAAAAAAATCTAGTGTTGGTTGTTCCTCACAGAGGCCAATTTTCACATTAGAAGTCTTTTACATTTAAATAGTTCAGGAGATAAGCCAACACTTAAGTTTTGAACTACAGGACTAGATTTTGAATATATAAATGCACTTCTTATTATGAAGAGATTGCTGGAAGAGCTCATGAAGGAAACCCAAATTATGATTTTTTGGTTTTCTGTACTTGAAAATAGCCTCACTACACTGTGTTTTATATCAACATGAAACATTGCTTCTAGGCTACTAACTTGTATCTCATGTTTCAGGTCAATGCATTTTGAAGCAGATGGGGCAGTAATTCATGAAAAATAGTGTTTAGAAAAGGTAAGTCAATTTTACAGATACTGTAATGTCTGCCACAGGCTAGAAACTGGCTTGTCTGTGGCTGGATTGTGAAAGGGTCTGAACTACTCCACAGCTACTTAATTTACTTGTAGGGGAAAAGGGAGAACACAACCATAAGCTAGAAGCCACATCCTAGAGTAGATACCCCACCTCTGTACATTTCCAGATTTTTCCTTGGACTAGTTGATAAAAATATATATAGATCCAATCAAGTATAATGTATTTAATGACATTTCATGGACTCTTTCAACCATTTTACATTTGATTTCAATGAAAATGTGGTAAATTGCTGAAAGGTGCAATAAGCAGCATCATAAGGAAGAGGTACAGAATCGTGTTACGCCTGTGGATGGTGTTTTCTGGTCACAAATACAATCACTCCCAGCTTCTGACCATGACAGTTGCTGAGGGACAAAAATACCTAAATCCCATCTATCTGGCCCAAATAGGTGGAATTTTGTGTGCTAAGGAGCTTCCATATTAGATTAAGATCTATGTCTGAGTAAACAAGCAATTGACATGCATTCATTAGAAAGTATAGTTTTCACAATATCTGATGAAAAATTGTTTAGTACAAGTAACTCCCTGGTGTACTATTTAATTCCCTCAGTTCTAGCAAGCTTACTCCTAACATAAAGTGCAGGAGAAGTTTCCATGAGAATCTGGAGTAGTGCTTATCCTCCACTACTACCATTTCTGTAACCCCCTATGCTCCTTTCTTGGTGTCTCCATATGGTAAAGGTCTGGGAATGGATTTTGGCTTTAGAAAACTTCATCAGAAAATGTTTTTTTAATTAGTATTTTTAGTATTAGTTCTTATTTTTATTTTGTTTCCCTCTTTCTTTCTGAAGTGGCTAGTAATCTTAAGTGTGGACATGCAGATCTTCCTGGGATAGACATGCTTCACAAACAGATTATTCAGTCATAAGGGACAAGTGTTGACTGCAACGTCCTCTTTCTCTCCTGTAGGAATCTTGGTTTAGCCAGGTACGTCAAAGAGTACCTTCAGTTCTTCCTGCCATTTATTTGTTAGTGAGAGCAACATGTTGGAAAAATTTGTTTTTAGCATACTTCAAAACCTGCTTGTAATTCCTCAGTTCGTACACACCATTTAGTGAATAATTTGACTTGTTGGCTATCTTCCAAGCCAATAATGCTGACCAAATTATCTTGAACATGCAGATGGTAACAAAAGGGCACCAGGTGTTGTTTTATTGTAATAAAGATGTGCAAACCTTTGCATCTCACTAAGTTATTTATCCACATAAATCATCAGGATTCTCAGCTTCCCACACTGCTTTAGTAAATTTTGAATAAGAGGCATCAGCTGTTTTCAGAATGTGCCCTTCTGTACATGCCACAGATATTTTGCTTTGGGCTTTTCTTCCACACTATGACCCATAGAGGCATTCAGTAGATCCTCTTTTTGATTTAAATGATTACTGAGCGATCAGAAGCCCAGATGTTCAGTGGCTTAATTGCTAAGTGTTAGCCTATAAAAGAGAGTAGGCAGTTAGTATCTGAAGGGAGGATTTTACTGCGTATAAATGTTATTTGGTACATTAAATGACATTATTTACATCCAATTTCTCTCTCTAAGGTGGCAACCTGAGGCTGTAAGTTGCCATGATGGAAAAATAGCACTTGTTTTCATGTCTACCTTTACAGATACAGAGAAACAAAATGTGGAAGCATAACACAGAGCAATGGTAAAACAATACTGATTGGGGGATAAGAAATACTGTCATACACCAGCAGACTAGTGATTGCCAACTTTTCTATAGGCCTCAAGGAATGGCTACAGTGTATCGTCTACAGGAAAGACTTCAAAACTTAACAATAAAATATTAAGTTGAATATTGCAGCCCTAAAATCACAAAGTGAATATTGCAACAAAGATCAGGATTTAGTGAGATCACTAGAATGAAATTCCTATTTCTTTTGATTGTGATGCTGATGTATAACAAATAATTTGAGTACTTGACATTGATTCAGTATCATTCAGAGCTCAGTATCATTCAGTGAGAACTCTGTTCTCACTGGATTTTTTTTTATTTTCTAATAGAAGAAACTAAACGTCCACTTTAAATAGTTTAAAAATGGGGGTGAGGACTCTCTGGCCAGATCAGAAATGGCAAGTGATAGCACAGGTCATAACTGTTCAATGTTCAAATAAAACCTATTTTCCTTGATCCCTGTTCAGTCTGCTGAATCCTCAGGGTTGGCTCCTGCTGGAATCAAAAACCAAACTGTTTTTCTGTTTTGTGAATTCCCATCACCTGTTGGCACCCTGAGCTGGTATGAACTAGGCAATGATGCAGCTCTCCGCAGTCAAAGAAGTAGCCTTGCGCTAGGAAGAGAAACATACGCTGCATTACTAGAAATAAAAAACACCGACTGTGAAACTCATCTGTGGTGGGCAAGATGATGGAACCGGGCCTTCTGCAATGTTTGTTACTGTAGCTGATGTTTCATGCTGTTAGTGCATATTATGTTTTTTTGAGTGTTTAAGTGCTTGCGCTGGTTTGATCTATTTAAATGCCTTTTTGCTAAATTGCATAGTTACAGCAAGTATAGAGCACCTGCACGTACCATTAAATGAGATCCTCTAGCATGTCCTTGTCAGGAAACACACTGTTTCTTCTAAGATTTTATTACATTACAATATAAATGACAACCTAAGTAGTACTGTCCTGGGAATGCTAAGCATAGTGCTTCTACTTACGAAGGAAGGGTGTGGACAAATGGTTAATTAATGCCATAGTGTTTTTTACAAACATGTTAGGCAAAACCCGCTCTGAACTGTAACAATGATTGTAACTTAAAAAGTTAGAGACTTTCCTGACTGGATTCGTGGACTGGTCTTCATCCTTTCTTCAGTCCAGGTCTGCCATTATCATTATCACTGTGTTTTTCCCATAGAAAGAAAGGCTGAAAGATGACCCATTACTAGTCACAGCACGTTGCTCTCACTGATTGGAAAGCAGTCACACAACAACAAGCATTTATTCTGTTTACTGAGATGTAACACCAAGGAACAGCAATTCACACCTGCGGTGAAGTTGTTATACTTCCCATTTCTTTTTTTTTTTTTTTATATATATTCTATTTTTATCCTTCATTTTTCCTGTTTCGTTTTGCCTTTTTTTTTTTCTTTTTTAATCTTCTCTGCCTCTCGTTCCCCCACTTCTATGATGGGTGTCAGTGCCAGTCTTGACACTTACCGTAAACCTGAAATGAAGGATAAACGGTCAGTGGTACATTTTTCAGCTATTAAATGGGTATTGCCCTAGTTGTAATTGATGACTTTTCTGTAGGGCAATCAGCTTAAATGTGTCTGGCTAATATATGAAGTATATATAAAAATGCATGTATATATATTTAAATTTATATAGCTTATACCCAAATCACTTCGTGGGCTGTGGAATTTAGAGGAGAGCTCCCTTCTCATGCACAGGCTGTTATATCATACTATATATCCTCCAAAAATAAAGGGTATGACTGGAGACCAGCAAGGGAAAATACCAGAAAATCTGTGAATCACTGATTTATTCAACACATCACAGAATATTTGATTTATTTTTTTTCCCCAGAACATTTGTACTAGACAAGGTAAAACATAACTGGAAAACATTGCAGTGTTGTAATAAGCTTGGCACACTCCTTAGAAGAAAAAAAAAAAAGGTAAAGTAGCTCTCCTGAGGCAGCATGAACTTTCATATGAGGATTCCAGAATGTTTTTACTTTTCTTGTAAGGACCATAACCTAAATAAATAAATCTAAGATAGAAATATCCCACCTGCCCCATACTCATCACAAATCAAACCCAGAGGTTTAAGATTACTATTCTTACCTTTACAAACATGACACTTAGCAATATAATGTCTCTCAAAAGGGAAGGTGGGCATAGAAATGGAATTGCTAAAATGATTTTACTGTAGAAAGAAATGGAGACCTAGGTGGTAAGAAAATAGTACATTTGAATTGGTCTCAAGTGTTAAATAATGGATATATGTGTATATAGGGTATTCAAATGCTTTTGATTTTTATGCAGAAGATTAAAATTTCCATTAGTATTCCACCTCTTCAGTTTTGCCTGGGGACTGTTAATTATATTTCTGAAATTGCAACCAAATAAAAACTTAAAAAAGTAACAACCAGATAATATAGTAAGTAGCTGTTTTCCCCTTTTCTCTTCCCTGCAAGCAGTTTGCTATCCTCTGTACAGCCCTGGACTAAAAGCTTACCTGTGTTAATTCCTGCACTCCACATCTCTTCTTGTACATGTACTTACTCCTGAGCAAAAAGAGCCCATTTCAGTAACATTGTAAGCACTGTCATCCAAATACTGGTGTCCTGAGATGCTACTGTTGGTAGCAACTGTGATGCCTCAGGAACAAAGCAACGTTGTGTATAAACCTTCATAAGGTCGGTCCCATTAGTGATGAGAGGATTTTCCAACTAATGATGGAGTTCTGCTCCATAAACCAAGGCACTCAACTGCTTTTAAGAAATGCTAGAAATGCATTTAGAAAATGTTGATATTTCACTTCTAATATTTTCTAACGGTGAGGGTGTTTGAAACCTACTGTTTTATGCAGTGCTTTAACTTGCCTAAGCGTTATGGAAAGACAGGAATGTACTGTCATGGCTGCTCTATTTTCAAAAGTGTTTTCTGGTAATAGTATAGGCTCCAGTAGGAACTAGGTCTTGGGACATGGTGGTGGCTTGTTTTCATTTTTATGCTGTGCATTTGCATGAAAACTGCACAAATGATGATGATATTTTTTGTAGTGTTTAGTGGAACATTTGGTATAAAAGAACTTGAAGTGTAAGGGTTAAGGCTTTTTGTTCTGTTTCTAACACAAGGGCCGGATCATGGCATAGCCACTACTCCGTTGTGTGACTGGAGTACCAATGAAACCCCAGTGAATGCTGTCCTCCTACCATTATATCCAGGCAATGGCTACCCAGCCACCTGGACGGCTGTAGAGAGCTGTTAGAGTTTCATGGCAGTTGCCATGAGTAAAAATATACATAAAGGTGGTGGACATAAAGTAGACCTCAAAGTATTGCTGAACTTTCTTTATAGCTTATTTCTGCAGTCTTAATTGAAGTAAATTTTGCTGAACTGAAAGGAACTTCAAAGTGCCTGCCTCTGCTTCCCTGTTACGAGCTTTAAATTGTGTTTTTATAATTAAGCTATAAATTTTAAAGCCATTTCAACTACAGTTTTTAATATGCCACAGGTTGTCCACCTGTCGTAACTGTGGTTCGATTGTTGTAGATCATTTTCTTTGGTGTGCTGCATGACAAAAAGCTATTAACATAGCAAAAATACTTTCTGAGTGAGAGGTGTCTCAAGTTGTCTCAATATTGGGGCAGAATGCATTATGTTTCTAATATAGGTGCAAGGTAAAAAGTTTTAATAGTGGAATGATAGAGTATCAGTGTAATCCAAAAAATATTTTGTTTTCTGAGGTTATTGATATTGATTTCCAATATATCAGTGAAAGTGTTGAAAGATGGAACATTAAAAGTAAGCTGTGGTGCTCCTCGTGGCTACCATAACAGCATTGAGGTGGTACCCATCTGAGTGCCCAGCTAAACTATTAATAATGTAGGGTTCCTTTCAACTAGAAATCACATGTCAACTCACCATCAGGTAAATGATAACTCGGCTTGGAAAGCAGTAATCCATTAACACCTGTCCTAATGATATCTGGATATGTAGAAAATATGATGTAAAACTCCCTGTTAATATAAAGAAATCATGTAATTACAGGTATGCAGGTTTAATGAAGAAAATTGCCCTGGCTACAATGGGGATTACCTTGATTTTCGCCCTGTTACATCAACAGTAAGTAAAACTTTTAACTATTATGTGCACAAATTGTGTTGTCTTTCAAAGGCAGTTGTAGGGTTTTGCATTGGTTTAGAATTATGGCTGCTGGTCACTGATGTGTTTTTTTGTTCAGAAAAGATATGAAACTCTTTTATACTCCTTGATTGTTCCAATTTTCTTTCTAGTTTAAGAAAGAGTAGGTTGTAGAAATTCATTTTCTATTTTTCTGACCATTTTGTTTTATTCTTATTATAAATAAGGTTATAAAAATGTACTTTGAATTAAAACTATCAGTTTAGACCTAATGGAATTGGGCTATTTCAGTGGCTTTGGTGTAGATAAGGAAGCTGACAGTAGATTTCCAGTTTTTGTGTACTTTAGGGAAGGGCGTTTAGGGATGCCTGTGATATATCAACTCCTCCAGTTACAGCATTATAGACAACTAAAGTAATTTACTGTTATGAATACCTCTAGAGAGTCAGTGTGTGTTGCGCTGAATTAAATATCTTGAGCTAAGCAAACACAGAAAGACAACCCTAACTTAAAACTTAATTCAACTCTGAACCTGTGGATTCAAGTCTCATGCTTCATTTTATTGAAGTATATTTGTTTTTAATCTTTTTTTTTTTTTTTTTTGAATGATTGGTCTGTGTATTCAGTATATCTTCTATATTTCGGGAACAGAAGCCTGTGTGTATTTTTTAATTATAATCCACGGTGAGGTGTTACGGAAGCCAGTTCAGCATAAAATCATTCATGTGATACCTGAACTTTACTGAGGCAAAGTGTATTGTAAGTATGGCAACCTTCAGCCAGAGAAACAAAGTGAAATTAACGTTTTTTCTTATGACATTTGGACCACTTCTAATAAACGTGTAGAAATGGAGTATATCACTCTAGAGGAAACAAGGACCTCTATCCTTGAGAATATCCACATGCCCTTACTGACCTTGGGTTACAGGTGTACACTTTTTAAACTGGAAACATTTTCACCATTGGCACATTCAGCTCCCACCTGCCCTTTCTTTTCACTCTATCAGTGTAGACTAAATAGACTGGATATACCCTACACCCTCAATTTCTTTGAATTGTCCTTGTGAGAAGAAGTGTCTTGTCTTGGTCAGCTTAGCTTGTTTTGCAGAGTTCATCTTTTTTTCCACTTTCCAGAAGCACTTCTTAGAGCCTAGACTTTGCATAGGGCTTGGGCACTTCTCTCATAAAAGACATGGATGCTCCCAGATTTTCCTAGAGAATTAATAGCTTCCAACAGCACACAATGCAGCACAGGGACTAATAAATCTCTGTTGTTGAGAGAGTCCCGTTTAGCATTCAGCCCTATTTGCAGTATATCACTGTTGCAGGAACTTGGACATCCATATTAATTCATACCAAGAATGCTCTCGTCTTGCCCCTTCATCCTTCTGTCCTCTCTGTTTCTCTGTCTTTCATTTCTGCTGATACTCTTCTGTCAGGAAAAGTTTGGTGGTTATTGGAGGGGTTTTATTTGTTCCCAAACTGGTAACACAGTGTCTAGCTACCAATGGTATTACCTTACATTTTTATGAACCTTCTACACTGTCGCTTGCATTCTCAGGAACCCCGAAGTAAATCTACTAGGTGATGATATTTAACAAGAAGTCAGGCTCTGAAGGAAGCAAAGGAGCACTTCCATCATTCATCATTTAATCATTTTGAATCCATATCAATCTGATTGCATGAAGGTCTCCAAATCCCAATTACAGCAGACCTTTTTTCTCCCCAGATAATATCTGTGTTATCAAACATGCATGTATAAGAACCACGAAAAGGTAGTCTCTATCCTAATCCAGAGCCTAGCTGTGGAATGGTAGGAACGATTACTTTTCCAGCCAAAATCCTCAAAAAAATCTGCAGATGTCTTTTTTTTCCCATGTTCCGATACGGCCTCTACATGAAACCAGAGCAGGAGTCACTCTGTCCCAAACCTATGCCCAGATTTGAGCAGGACTAAATGGAGACCACCTCCAGTAAGCCCGGGGTCTTCCCTGGCCATTTGAGAACCTGGCTGAGCAGTGCTGGGGCCAGGGAGCCAGCACAAGCCCGGTGCCTGCTCGCTGGGGGATGGCTTCAGCAGGTGCAGCTGCTGATGTGCCCCTCGGAGCATGGCAGAACTGTTTTCTTCTGCATGGGGAGATGTGTTGCCAATGCACACTAACTGCTTGCAGACAGCCTCTAAGGTGGCTGTTCATTAAATGCTGTAAGTTAGACCCATGCAGTGTCAGAAATGCCTCTTCTTGCATGTTCAGTCCTCAGTGCTCATTTGTTATTGGCCTGCATTGTATTCCTGTCTTTAGTGAGAAGGATGAATAATTTCTAGCCTATTTTGGATCAAGAAATTTAAATTTGAGTTTCACTGTAAGCTTACAGTATTTCAAATTTCTTCCAACATTTGGCCTCAACTGCACAGCATAGTTACAGAAGCAAAACAAAAGGACAATAATTTTCACTAGAGCACACCTGCAATAATGGCTCACAGCATTTAATTTTTCCCTTGGTTTCCTGGTAGACTTTGTTTTGACACCTGCAAACAACCTTTTCCAAATCAAAGTGAGCTTTTTCTCTCCATGTCATTCTGCCACCCAAGTTGAGCTGACAAAGTCCAACTAAGAAACAGAGCAATTATAAACACAGTTTCCTCTGGTGCTTGTGCTGTTTTTAGCTTTGCTGCTCTCCCAAGGAGAAACCTGTGCCTAATGTTTCCAGCTTAGCATGCAAAATTAATAAAACCTAACAATTAGACTGAGCAACATAAAATACAAGTAAGGGATCCTTTCCTATGTGGTTTGGACTTCAAGATATTAAATTGGCTCCTTACTCTTAAACATTTTTTTTGTTTAACACAGTGATCATAAAATGTGTATCTGGAATGATAAACAATAATTGGCTCTAGGCAGCCTTTTCTCACAGAGACAAAAGAACAGTTGTTATTCCTGTACTTCTTTCAATAAACACATGTGTAAGTTGGAATTCAGCTAGGCTGCCCTGAAAGGAGGCACACTTTTGTGAGAAACATAAAAGAGATGAAATTTACAAGTGGGCATGTAGACCGAAAAAAAGTTTTTTGTCTTGTTTTGTAATACTAAAAAGTGTTTTCTATGCTCATACAATGCCATGATATATCTCACCAGGAGAAATTCCATCTGAAGCTAATCCTGTAATGTTCTGTAGAAACAACGGTTTTAGCAAAGATGTAAATCAGGTCCTTACTGAGCCTACAGATGGTTTTGGGATTAATATTCCTTATTCCCATAAGGTTTTCTATATTACTTGGGCTCACTTTTGGATTTCAGGGCTTGTAATACAATACTTCCAGTTATTAGCTTGCTTTCAGTTTGTCTTCATGGGAAGGATTTACTTCATTTTCATTTTAGTGTTTATTAGAACTGATCAGCCAACTTCCTTCTCTATTTGTTGAAATGCAGACTGTGCCTTACATTGATAGTCTCTAAGATTATGAATAGCTCAGAAGTAAAATGCTTTATTTAAGATTAAATATGTTTCTTAATATTGTGTTGCTTTTTTATTTTTATCTTTTTGAATAACAAGAATTTAGTTGTAGGTGTTTTTTCTTTTGTATGTTTTTTTTTGTTTCATGACAGGATTTCAAACACTTTATGGCTACTGCAAGCAGAATTTCAACTATTTTCTAGATCCTCAGGGATTTATTACATAATATCTGGATGATCCTATCTGATGCAGTACAGTTTAGACTATACCACATTTTGAACTGGGCACGTGATCATTCACAAATCTGTTTGGCTTTATCATTTTTCCAGATTATTAATTATAATCATCGTTAAGTTTGTCCTGGTAGATTTCATTTAAAGGCAATAAGGGAAAAAAGAATGGGAAGGAAAAGGAAGATAAGGGATACCATTTTTTTTTTCAGGGTGTTTTCTTTAGAGAGAAAAGTATTGAAAAATGATATCTAACTTCCTTTATTCCAATTAGCTAATTTTATTGATGGCTTGCCTTCTTGTAGCAAGAGATAAAAGCAAGTATGAATTGCCTTTAAGAAATTGCTGTATCATTCATTTGAAAAAGAACTGATTGTTCTAAAGGATTGCAACTTGACAGCCTAATTTATTGACTAAATACGTATTTGAACAAAGGCTATAAAAGACTGCAGAAGAATCTTTGGAGTATCTTTTAAGATTGACTGGGAGTCTTAATGAAGGCAGTGTCCCTTGCCCTTGGCCTGTGTTTCTATTGACTTCAGCAGTCATTAGATGAGTCCCATGATGACTCTAACTTGCAGTAACGACAACTTTCCTAAACTCTTGTGACGAGTATTTTACTAGAGATACGTGCTCAGCTGATTGTGCACCTGTCCTATGTATTTTGGAGGCCCTTCACATAGTGCTAATCAGTACCTCTGCTTTACCAGAGACTCAGCGCATGAAACATGTACCTTCACTGCAAGACCTATTTGTATGTGTGCTGCAGCCAAGACTGCTTGGAATTTGGAAAAGTTGCTGGTCCTTTTCAAATCAAAAGAAAGTTACATCTTTTTTATGCAACCTGTAGGATTTGGCTGCATAATACAGGAAATACTTTATTATGTTTGTGCCCTAGGTTATCTTGGCATAGCTCAGTGTGGCCAGTGGATCTTGGATACTCCCGAAATCATAACATGTACGCGCTGTGTGGTGAGAGGAAGCAGAGGGATAGCAAGAGCTGGACTCGCAGCAGAAAAGGTGGTGTATCTTCCATACTCTGTGTGTTATTTATAGTCAAGTCTGAGTTGATTTTGTTGATTTTTAGGGTACTTGCATCACTCGTCTGTGAAGCATTAAGCATTTACAAAATGCACAGTAAAACCCAAGCAACTCATCTTAAATAGTTGACAACAGAAGTAATAACCAAAATGTACAAAAATGTATGAGCAATGGGACCACGTATTTATAAGCAGTGACACTCAGCTGTTCAGAAAACCATAAATATTTATTTGAGAAAAGACCTATAGGAAATAAAAATCTGAAATGTTTGATAAAGCTTGAACCATGTTAAACAAATTACTTACCTCCAACCAGGTGTGTGCTTGAATGTAACAGCCAAGCCAAAGTAAGCAGACCTGAAAATACTTTCACCTGGCAGAGTCAGCTTGAACTTATTTGGGAGTCAGCAGCTGTATGGTTAATATTAAATAAAGATATGAAGACCTGTAAGTAAATGAACACAGAAAGTGAAGTTAACTGCTTGCATGATTGATATCTGGTTTATTTTTAAAATAACTGTCTTATTCTGTCTTAATGTGCTTGTTATATACTTACATAGAATGGTGCCTCCTTGTTAAGGTATTAAAAAAAGTTCTGTGTGGCTTATCTTAGAGACTATTCTGAACTAAACAAAAATGACAACATTCTGATCTTAAAACAAGCTTGGAATTCTTTTGCTTAGATGTTACATGATCCTGTTCCTTCATGGTGTTCCTCAAAATACGATTTTTTTCCAAATTTTTGTTTATCTGAAATACTTGTAAGCTATCATCATGAACTTGTGCAACGTGATTAATTATACCTTACTTCATAAGATCAGTTATTAGCATATGGTTAATAGTTGCCAATGATCATAACATGCCTGTGTGTCTGCTGGGACCCCACCTGTTATGGTACTCCAGAACTGAATGAAAGTGATATTGCAGATAAGCAAGTGTTTTTTAGTAAGAGAGCTTTTGTTGAGGGAAAGCAGGTTTTTTAGTAATACAAAACCACAATTTGTTTTCTGTTTTATTCTTCTGGTACTCAGTGTTCCTAAGCTTGATTTGGTTCCTGACTGCTAGGCTGACAATTAACCAGCTTCTGTGCATCCTGGCTCTGTTAGTGTTTGTAAGTAGTAATTGTTTTCCACATGTAACACGAACTATACAAAAATTCATCCACGTTGAAGACAGTATTACCAAGGAAACCTTGAATAGTTTGAATCTTTTTATTTTATACTGTCCCTTTCCCCTCAGAAGTGCTGTTCAGCTTCGGTTGGGGGTTCCTAGGTAAAACTTTGCATACTAGAAATAGTATATTTATTTGTAGCCTGTGAGTAAGGCTGACTGAAGACAGAAATAGTTTGACAAAATAAGAACGCCTTCTTTTTAAAGCTGATCTGTAAAACTACTTTCAAGGTAAATGTTTCACAGTATTGTTTAGGTGTATCATGATACCGTGGCACAGCATATAAACATATCTCTTCTAGCTGGGAAGTGTTTACTGTGGATGTGTTCATATAAAGAAAAGGTAGGTAATTCTCAATTACTACTGCTGTGGTAGAGCATGTATTATGGTAGCGAGGGCAGAAATTGGGAAGAGTTTTTTCAACTCTTCCGAAGGAGCTCAATTTTGAGTCAAATACCATGTTTAAACCGACACTTACAAAGGGGGCCTTAAGCTGGATATTTAGGTAACTGTAACTGCGTGATTTTTAGCTCCTTCGTAGGCATCCAAATGAAGATTTCTAAAATCCAATTAAAAGTATCAGCTAGGAGCTCAAAAGTTGTTTGCTTTAATCCTGAATGGGGGCTGATCTTCTACAAAATGTAGTTGGTTTTCTGGCATCTGACTGTTTGGTGGTGGTGGTAGTGGATTTTTTAAATCTGTTTTTGTAGATTTAATCTTAAAATCCAGAATAAATAATAGGAGGAGCCTTTATATGGTGCATATGAATTATGGTGTTGAAAATAGCCTGTAGTGACATTTTTGTCATAGTAAAGGAAAATTTTGAGAAGGTGGCAATCTGCACTTTTTCAAAGACCTCTGTCATAATAGACTGCTTTTATAAACCCATGCCAAAACAGATCATTACTGGCTGTCTTACATGAGCTGACATCTTGCTTTAGGTATACTTCTAAGTTACTGTTGGCTCATCTTGTTTGAGGTCAGCTTATATGTTCAAGTCCAGTATACACTTACTGGCCCAGCTCTGCTCCTGTATGTTTTGTAATTTGCATGTTGTCATATGCTCAGAGATTTGTAGTCATGATCTATGGTTTATATGTATATATATATATATATATAATTTTTTTAAAATATGTCAATATGGAGCTAGTGCACAGACCTAAGAGCTGTTGTGTGTCCTCCATAATGCAGGTTAGCCCTTTAGTGCATGGGTTTTGAAAGCTGCCTTTTCAGAGGAGTTGACAAAATGGGCTCTCTGAGGCACTTAAAAGATTCCAGTATCTTTTTGTCTGAAACAAGAACATAAAAAGCAGCTGGGAATAAAATATAGCTGAACAGATGAGATACACAGTCTGTCTTCTCCTAAGTAAAAATAGAGATTACTGTTCATTTTGAGACTATATGATGCAATGAGAGTTCACTTGCAGTGTAACTGTAGCTTATGCTCCAGAAGAGTTACAAAGACATGAGACTGCTTCAGTTACCTCCTTTGCCAGCCTTACTCCAAGAGGTGTCAAGGGAAAGAGCAGATGTGTATGCTAAGATACTATCTAGATTCCTTTAGTGATTATCAAGACTTTACTTAGACAGTAGACCTTATGTCATAAAATACATATATTCCTAATTCTCAAATAAGAGCACAAATCAACCCAGTAAAGAACATACTAAGAACATCAACTAGAAATTCCAGTAAGTATAAATTTTTAAACTGTTCCACTGAACTACCAATGTGCTAGGCTTAGCAGATGTCTTCTTTCCAGTTTTTGTAAACATTTACAGTTCTAGCAAGGTAGGTGAACACTTAACGTTAGTGAGTTCCCTGTACTTACAGCCATAAATTATTTGTGATTCATGTAAATATCTTTATAAGCCAAGAAACAGTGCCAAGTAAACACTGGTCAGCTTTTTAGAAACACCTTGTATGAAAACAGACTGCTTTAAAGTTGTTTTTTTTCTTTTTTTTTCTTTTTTTTTTTTTCTCATATGACCCAAGTTAACTGAATCTTCACATTCCTGGTGAGCAGTGCTGTTGTCTGTGACACCTGTTTTAAATTCACCTTTTATAGCTGTAAGATAAATTTAATTTTGTGAAGTCAAAAACTGTTCTGCACTTCCCCGAGTCATCCCTGTAACAATCAGTGTTCCAGCTGCTTGCTCCCATGATCTTTCCAGGTCTGCGTTTCCCATGGAAGAGTGGCTAAGAAGCTGGATACCTTGGCAGACAGGGGTCGCTCACTTTCTCCCAGTAAAAAGTGGGAATCACAACGTGCAAGCAAAGTAATGTGTTTTAAGATGCAATGGCAGTAGTTTTGAAATACTTTTTTTTGTCCATAAAGGTGTGTTGCAAAGCACACAGCTTTCATATGGTTTTCAAATACTATATTTTTGTGATTGAAGATGAATAAAACATGCCAATAAAAAAATAGTGCAAAAATTAAGGAAATTCCAGAGAACAGTAAACTTCAGAGAAGTAAATCATGAAACATATGCATCCATTTTTTAAGAAAGTATGAGTCATAACTTCTAGCTGCAGACTTTCCATTTGTTCACCATTTTGCTGTTCCAGCTTTGATTCAGAAACTAGCTCTCAAGCAAGAATCATCATTTAATTTAAAAAGTCTCTGGGTTGTAAAAATGGTGGTATTGTGTATATATATGAGATACATATTTTAGTCTTCATCTATGTAACAACCACCCAAAAACATCTGAAATGACAGCAGACAGCTTTATTTTTCCAGTGAGCCATAAAAATGAGAAAACAGCAGAATGGCTAATGTTACGAGTTGCAGTTGGTTATTGTGATACTAAATGCAGAACATGGCAATAACTTCTCAGGTTGTCCAACTTATCTATCAAGTGTACCATAACATATACTTTCACATAGTTTATTGCTTTAATATTATTCTGCTGGATGGTTCAAATCGTACTGTGATGAAATTCATTTCAAGGAAATTCTGACAGTATAATGAAGAATGATGTTTGTGTAGTACTTAACGATACATTTCTTCAGCTTAAACCAAATAATTGTACTTTATATTTTGTTAGCTGAATATATACAAAAGTAGAATCATTTGGGTCACAAAAAACAGCTTGTAACTTTTCAAACTGTACACAAGTGCTTGAGGGCAAAACCAAAATTATTTGAAAATAATGTGTTATTGTTGAAAGTATGTATTACAAACAAGTGTTTATGTGAAGAGTAAGAGATTCACAGTGCTATATCATAATTCAAAATATCTGGATTAGATGCTTATTGCATGAGAGATGACCCTGAATTCCATGTTTGCTAACCACGAGAACATAGTTAGCGTTCCTCAAAGTCCATTTATAATGCTGTGAGAAAACAACTGGTGCAACAAAATCAAACATCATTGGTTGTACTTAAAAATAAATGAGCTGGGGGGAGAAAGTATAGCAGTAAGTTTTGGGCTTACTTCGACCATTCTGCATAAGCCTTCTTCACAAGCCTTTTCACTATTGGAATCTATCTACAGCTGTCATTTGGGAAAAAAAAAAAAAAGAAAAAAGAAAAAGGACAATGGCCTCTTTCTTCTCAGCCTGAAAATCAACAAATGTAAGGCTGAAATCTGTTTGGTTTAATGAATGTTTTAGTTATATTGTTTCTGAAGTTATATTGATGAAATTAGATTACTTCCTGGAGACAAGGACATTGCTGAGACAAGAGAGGAGTGTAATGAAGTGAGTTTCAAATTACAATACATACAATTTACAGTAGATAAGTGTGTTGTATATTACTTCTTTGTTTAATCATACTTTTTTTTTTTGAATGGCAACAGTGATAAACATGGAAACAGCATTATCTGTCCCCTCTTACAAGTGGAGACCCCACCACTGTTTACCCAGAAGCTCTATTGAGTGTAAACTCCACAGGTTATCCATCTTTGTGTTTATGTAATCCAGAAGAGAGCTTTCTGAAAATCCTGGGTACATGAAACTGTGGTCATCTCACCGTCTCCAATCTTCTTATGGCTGTTTGACATTTTCTCCTTCTTAACTAGAAGTTGGAAGCATGCAGTTTGGCAAGATGGGAAACAACAGGAAAGATCTATCCATCCTGCAAAGTTCATGACAGGCTTTGCTCAAGTTTTTGATGGTTTGTGTTGGTTTTTCTTGTTCTGTACCAGTTCTTCCACCGTCTGTGCAATTTCCATTAATAGTCATGAGTGATTTGCGTGTCTTAATTCTTCATTTAGAGTGTTGAAAATCTACCCTAAAGCTATGAAAAAATAATGGAAAAAGCATGTATAATTGAAAA